CAGCCTAGTAAATAGTGACTCCGGCCGCGGAGGCCTTCGCTCTTATCACCTAGGTGTACGTATGATACACTTAGAGGCACGTACGTATGAATGTGATTTTCACACGTCGGTATGAATACTTACTCATTTAAAATAGCGTGTTGTAATTGTAATTAATATGTACCTTATAATATAAACTATTGGGTAGTTAGGATCTTACGTGGAAAGGTAATATCGCCCACCGGCGCGGTACTACTCCAGCTAAGCTCGTGACAGGTGTTTGTAGTGCAAGATATGTCAGTGTGTAAGTAAGGATGATAGGACAAGGCAGAAGAAGGAAAAATTGCGCGCGGTCCGTGATCCGTTTCTTAAGGTACTTCTGCGGCATTCGCCTATTGTTGATTGGAACGGAAAACAACCGATCAGAGCAACCGACCGCTAGACCTCTCCTCCAGACTTCAGCTGAACTCATCCTAGCTGTCTGGCTAGCGTCGAAAATTCTGCCACCGTCCGGACATAAACCCAGGTCCTCCCAGTCAGAGGCTCTGCAGAAACGTCAGTTGATGACCTGAGCTCCCTAAGGGCCCCTTCCCACGGCGCCACCGCGGCGCGCTTCGCAGCAGCGCGGCGCGTAGCAGAGCATTGGTTTGAATGGAGGCCTTCCACGTGCAGCGGGTGGCGGCTGCGCCGGAGCCGACGCCGAACTCCAGCACGCGAAGCCCAGGAGGGGGCACGCGCCACCGCTACAGAAACACAGCTTTTAAATGGCGCCTTCCCACTGCGCCACGGCGGCGCAGCGTTCTACCTGCTCGCGTCCCCTTGTTCGTGTCGCCGGATGGTCGGCGAAACCTACCCCTCCAGACCCCACCCCCTTCCACGGCAGGCGGCGGTGCGGCCGTGGCTGCGTCGGAAGGGCTCTGCTGCGTGAAGGAAGCGCGCCGCGGTCGCGCCGTGGGAAGGCGCCCTGGCCGATAATACGCAGATTGGCGGAGAAGGACGCGGGAGGGGTGCGGCGCCTACCTCCTCGTCTATGTTGTTGAGCAGCTTCACGTGCAGGCTGCGGTTGTTGGGGCGGCAGTCCAGCACCGCCTCCTCGTGCTGCATCGCCCACGTCGTCACCACGCCCGCGCGCACCCACGGGAACTCCGGGTCTGCGGGGACAAGCAGCACAACACTCATAGACTCACCCCGCCGGCAGCCAGGCCAGCTGCCGCGAACGCCTTTCGTAAGCTCATCTACAAGCTCTAGTCCATCATCTAAGCTTACAAGACATGGCATTGAACACTTCGAATGCCGTGGTAAGTGTCAGTTCCCATCCCCCGTGGAATTTGTCAATTCGAATCGTGTGGAATTTGTCGATTCAAACGTGTTGTGTGGCGATTTGAATCTTTTTTTGCGAGGCGATTCGAATTGTGTGTTATGTGGCAATTTGAATCGTGTGTTATGTGGCAATTCGAATCGTGTGTTGTTTTTGTTGTGACACTGTTCTCCCTGCGCGTTTGAAGAGGTTTACTGACAGATTTGCAGGTTTGTGATTTTAGTAGTCCAGCTCAAAGACTTCGAACACAAGTATTCTAAGGAGACTAGATCATGAGAGAACATCGATGAAATCCGAAATTTACTGCGAACGAGTAGTTTTCATTTCTTACTGATTCATTCATGCATTTATTTATTTATTAGTATTTATTTGAATGCGAGTACCGTTTTACCTCTTTAACTCTTACGAGTCATACAAGGAATCACTGTTTAGGTTGTTGTCACTGTCGGCTACGTTCCGCCCTGGAACTGGCTAACCTCCAGGCGTGGCCACCTTGGCACTTACCTTTCCACCTCTCTGACACCGAAGTGACCCACGGCCTAGTGTTCTGTGTGTGTACTTACGAAGGGATGTTAAGGGATGTCTTAATGATTTCGGCCACAGGGTCGGCTATTTATTTGTGTATTCATCAATCGTTTATTTGTTCATTCATGCATTCATTCATTCATTTACTTATCTTTTTAATTAATTTATTTATTTATTTGTTAATTCATTTTTTAATCAATTTAATTTTACAATTGCTTTTTATCCATTCATTTACAAAGGGAGCGAGAGGGGAAGGCAGCTGGGCGGGGGCGGGGGCGTACCTGCGACGTAGACGTAGATGTCGACGAGGTGCTTGGGCGGCTCGAGCGAGTCGGGCGGGTCGGCGTGGCGCACGCAGGCGTAGGCGCCCGTGTGGTAGTAGGAGGCGTTGGGCAGGTGCAGCGTGGCGGCCCAGCGGGCGGGCGCGCCGCCCGCGGCCGCCGCCCGGGGCGACTGCTCTTCGACGTCCGGCAGCAGCGGCTCGTCCACCTCGCCCTCCTCGGCGAACGGGAAGAGCCAGCGCGGGCGCTCGGGGCCCTCGCAGCGCAGGCGCAGCTCCTGGCCCGACGACAGCTGCAGCTCCCCGCCCTCCGCGCTCCCCGCGGG